TATATATATATATATATATATATATATATATATATATATATATATATATATATATATATATATATATATATATATATATATATATATATATATATATATATATATATATATATATATAAATTAAGGTACAACAAATCAACAAAATCCACTAGGAATCTTTATTACTAAATAGTTTCGTACCACAGTATGTGGCACTCTTCAGATAAATTGACCTAATGACTATAGACTAAAACTTACAAGGTTATATGTACAAGTGGATGAGACATGAAACTATTTAGTAAAAAAGATGCCTAGTGGATTTTGTTGATTTGTTGTACCTTAATTTAAATATGCTCTAGTTTTCCATTGAGCACTTTGCCAAAAGTTTTTATAACCAACAAAACCAAATTTTATATATATATATATATATATATATATATATATATATATATATATATATATATATATATATATATAATATATATCACAAGTTCATGAATACTAAGGTGATGCGAATGTAGACTACTGTTTATGTAGACTACCGTTTAAAGTCTGAAAATTCGACTCGAACTGTCCATCTATAAATCCCTACGACAGTTGTTTTATCGAGTGCCCAAAATCCTGATATTGAAATATGCAGCCTAGCTATAATGTGTACCTGTTGTGTAGTGTAGAGCATAGAATCCATTTGTTTCAAGAATTGATGTTATGTCTGCATTCCTCTCGAGCACCCCAGCACCAATGATTGGTCCCCAGTTGACAGACAGCGCTGGCAGGGCAAGTTTGTGCTGGCGATATTCACATAGTTGGTCCATGAATGAGTTGGCTGCGGCGTAAGCAACTTGACCAACATTACCAAGAACACCAGATATTGAGGAGAACATAATGAAGAAATCAAGATCCATCGATAGACTGAGTTGATGAAGGATCACGCATCCTAAGGTAAAACATCCAGGTATAATAAAAATACGTAATCATTGTTATATGGCTAGCGTTTAAACTAAACATGGTTGGTTACATTGTGGTCACGTAGATTTACATAGTAAATGCAGTATATCTTGGCGGGAAACATAACAAATAGTGAAAACTCGTTTCCTGCTCCGCCATATTAAATTAAAATGACTAATGTTTCTCACAAATTTCTGGCCATGTTTATTGACATGGATTATAAGAGAATACCATCACCTCACACCGCCACATCATACCATATTCATTATATTCATTATATTAAAGTTTCGTTATATTAAAGATGAGAAAATAAAAATAAATTTACATGATCGAAAACACACCTTTTACTTTTGTCTCCACAACCTTTTTGCATGTTTTCATGTCGGCGTCTTTGAGCAACTGATCTTCCAAAACCATGGCGGTGAAAACAATTCCAGCTACAGCAGGCAAACGGTCAAGTTCTTCCTTAATTACATTCATATCTTTCCAAGATGTAACATCTGCCTGTCTTAGAAGAATCTGTGATCCAGTCTCCCGCTGCAAACGTTGAACATCGGCTTTTTTTTCCTCACTTGGTACTGAACGAGCTGTACATATGACTGTTTTTGCACCATTTTCAACCATCCATTTGGCCACCTCGAATCCAAAACCACGAACACCGCCAATTACAAGGTAAGTGCGATCATCTTTCAAACCGCTTGTGTCTATTGGTAAACTGTAGAAAACTGCTTTCTCAGGAGTGTGTTTAGGCTTCAAAGAAACTGTGTGGAAGCAAATTTCCTTCTCTCTTTCCAAATAAGAATTTGTATTCTTAAATTCGTCGTTTGTGACGTCATATATACTAGATACTAGCGGAGAAAGTTTCAAAATTCTTTCCATAAGTCCTCTTGATTTCAACACAGAACAACACGTAACCAATAACTTTGAAAAGCTCTCAGAATTATCAGTGATATCTTCCAAACTGGTCATAGAACACTGGACATCTTTGCCGTGAATGAACGGGTTGAATTTGACATTTTCTTCTCCATAAACAATGATCACACTAGCGCCTGGTTTAAGGCGCTTCATTATTGGACGGCAAACATGCGTACTGGTCTCACTAAGAAGGCAAACTGCGTCTAAATCCATTGAACTAGTACCATTTAATTCCGATCTTGCCATTTCCTCTGCAGTTATAACTGATATACCTCCAAATTTTTTAATTCGGTCTTTACTGGATCCATCTTTGACAAGGCACACGACATTTATATCCAAAGACATGGCAACGCATGCGAAGATGCAGCAAACTTCCTCGCTTTGATGATGGATAAGGACTTTCTTTCGTTGCATATTCCTAAGAAGATTTATAAGAATATGGTAGGACATTGTCAGTGGAAAACCAAGCGAAGCAGCTTGCTGAGCAGTGATGTTATCTTTTATCTCTGTGAAACAGCATTTCTCTCCATCAACATAGCTCCCCAGGTCATCAATTTTACAAACGCCAACCACAAAGCAATTTTGTTCTTCTTTGTGCCTATTACAGAATTTTCCTGCGAAGGTAACGCGATCATTCGTTTTGAGGTCAAGCCAAGGCTTATGAAGAATTGGACAGGCGAAGTAGACTTCAATTTTCATTTCACCTTTTATCCGCTCGTTGGATGTTTTCTGTAAAAACCACTGCCCTGGCATCTTTGTCATCTTGAAAGGCTTTTGTGCTCCATCTTGCGTGACAGGAGACTCCTCCTTGGTAAAATTTCCGCCGTCCAAATCCAACTTCCTAAAGCGATTAACATAACAAAATCCATCTCTATAGACAAGTTCTTCTTCCATCGTTGCTTTTCTCATATCTTCTACCATTGTATAAAAATCGTCATCGCAGGGATCGTTAGGCAAATCAACCACAAAAGCGTTTGGGGCTGTTATTTCTTCTGAGAAAGTTCTCCTGAATCCAAATACAGAAGCAGACCACGGGAAAGCACCTGAACTGACAATGGTAGGATGACGATCGGGTTGAGGAATTGTAACTACTCCTGAAGTAACGAAAACGAGCTGAATAGATTTGGCGAAAGCTTCTCTTTTTATAATTTCTTGTGAAATCAACAGACAGCTTTCAAATGCAAGCCCATGAGTTGCATCGAAGTTGTGCGTATCAGCATCGAATTTGCTGGCGTCTACCGGCCAGAAATTGATCACCAGTAACTTTTCATTGCTCTTCATTTTGCTCAATACTTCATCTAATGCTTCACAAAAAACGTTACGTGTTTTATCTGAGGTATCTGGTATATCAACAAAATGGACACTTTCATCCGGTGGAATATTCTGAGAAAACCGTTCAGCAAACTTGCTTTGATCTCTAAGAAGAAGCCAAACGTTGTTTTGACTCATTGGCGGAGTTTCAGACGTTAATTTTTCCCAACCGACAGCGAATGATGTGTTTTCAAAAGTCGCTTTGGATTTGTCTGCTGCAATTTCTGCTGTGATTAGTTTTTCAATAATCATCACTGGTCTAGCATAACGATCCATCAAGGTGATGTTGCAGATTGGCGTGGTCTCTGATTCTACGATCTTTGTATGGGCATAAAACTGTTCTATGCATGTGGGTTTTTGCACGATCGTGATTCGTGCGATCTTCTGTGGCACACTTTTAGCTTCTAAACCTTTGACGAGAAGCGTTGTCTGGAAAGACGCGTCAATTACTGAAGGATGTATAATGTAAGCTGATGCTTCTTTATTGATCTCTTCACTTGGACATATGAGAGCAAGTGCTTCAGTGCCGTTGGACCATGCGTCTGTTATTAAATTAAACTGGGGACCGAATGCGAAACCCAACTTTTCACGTTGTTTTTCAAGATCATCTTTCGACCATTTACTCATTTCACATTTATAATGTTTAAGATTGGTAGGGTTTCCTTGGGATGATTCTAAAGTGAAAAAGAACATAGATGAATATCAAAACCTAATGAAATGACCAAGAAATTATTTTGTATTTGTTTTATGTTTCATGTTTCATGTATACATAATCAGCCATTTTTATATAAAGCCAGTACTCTCTGGATAGCTATCCATCTCTCTATCTATATCTATCTATATATTTATAACAGACTGATTTTTTTAATTTGTAGGACAGGAACTCCTTGCCTTTGTTCGTCATCTCTAATGGACGTTTAGTTTATATCATTTTGGAACATTCATGCCGAATAACATTAGATGAAATTAGACAATTAGATGAAATCGTATCCAGCAGAGAATGACACGATATCCCACATTAATGCAGAATATGGAACAACATAACTATATCACAACTTTTATAAATACGACAAAAGTCTTTGGTTGAGAGAGAATTGAGAGAAATGTCAACAAACAATGGACAAGAGAAATGGAATGTCAATGGAATGTCAATGGACTAGCTTGTAGGTATACGTTAAGAGAAACAGTGAGCAAAATAGTACATATAGCATATTGTTGCACTGAAGATGGCATGTTTACAATTAAACCTTTTGCCGCATTCATAAAAGTTATCTTATGTTTAGTGCTAGAAAGATCGTTTGAAAATAAACCAAAGTCTTTCAACTAAATTTGATGATTTACATTTGCCTTCTTACCTTCGCTTCTATAGCCATCATTAACACCTAATTGTATGGAACCTTCAGAGAGAACAATTTCATTCTCGTTGTCTTGCACAATTGTAATTTGAAATTGGTTTTCTTCACCATGACATTCCTTGGGCAGAAGACGTGTTCTAATTCTGTGCGAGTCGTTGTTGGATATAGTTAACATATTATTGAAGCTAATGTTTAGCACATCAGGTGCCGCGTTTGGAGACAAATGGATTGACATTGCTAATATTATTTCTATGTAAACAGCTGCAGGTATCACAGGATCAGAAGATTCAGCAAATTTGTGATCGTTTATATATGAGACATTGTGTAAATTGATTTCAGATTCCCGGGCGTGCAAACCCGTGAACGTTTCCGTTGGAACAGTTTTACCAAGGAGAGGATGGAAAGTGACGATTCTTTTATCTTCTTTGGCATTCTGTTCATCGAGGAATGTCACAAATTCAGACGGATGCTCGTCCCGGTACCAAAACTCCGTTTCTTGCCAAGGATATGTTGGACGTGGAAAAAATGATTTCGATCCTGAGCCTTGCACTTTATTCCAGGATAGTGGGACACCATTTGTAAAAAGACGAGCGACGCAATTTTGAAGAAACGACAAGTGCTGTTGACTGGCCGAGCGTTTTGGCAGAGTTTGAACTACTACAACATCATTATTTGCGCTTATGGATATTGGTGTTTGTTTATGAGACCACGTCTGACTAACATGGTATGAAAGTTGAGGAGCGGTGTTTATTTCAATGAAGAAATCGTAGCCATCTGAAAACATAGTTCTCAAGGCAAGCTATAGTAAAACACCTTGTCGGATGTTTTTCCACCAATGCTCGAGTGAAAGAAGCTCACCAGATAACCGAGTACCTGCAACTGTTGAGTAAAATGGTATATTACTTGATGTCTGACCTACGTTGAATTCACTTGTGAGTTTGAAGTAAGACTGCTTTATTTCTTCCATCTCTCGACTGTGGTATGCTCGTGTTGTAGCAAGTTTCTTCCAGAACACATCACTCCGTGCAACTTTCAAATGGTTTTCAACAAACTCCATTGAAGTTTTATCACCAGCTAAAACCACGTTACCGGGGCTATTAACGACCGCAATATCAACTTCATTTTCTAATTCAAGGTCTTGCAACGTACTTCGTGCATCTTCGTATGAAAGACCAATGGCAGCCATACAACCAGTAGGTGAACATTGCTCGTGAAGTAGAGATCGAAATAAAACCAATTGCAACGCTTTATCCAAACGTAATGCACCACATGCCCAGGCGGCTGATATTTCTCCAAGACTGTGTCCAAGAACAGCAGACGGGGTGACACCCCAAGATTCAAGTAATTTGGTTAAGGCAAAATGTATGGCAAACACAGCTGTCTGTCCGATTGAGTTTTCATGAAGGCGGGTAGTCTCTTCAGGCTTGTTAAGCTCAGTAATTAAGGACCATGACGCTTTGTATCGTCTCAGGAGAGCATCAATCTTTTCAATGCTTTCCCTAAACTTCGGCTCATGTAATAACATCTCTCTTGCCATTCCATACCACTGAGCTCCTTGACCACCATAGAGGAACACGACTTTATTACGCGTTTTAGTTACGTCACCAGTAGCCACTAATTCTTCCCAACCTTTCTCTTGATTGGCAAACTTCTCTAAAACCTTTGCTGCATCTTCAAACGAGGAAAAGCTAAGCGCTAAACGATGAGAATGCACAGTGTATCTCTCGTTCAGGGAATAGCAAATATTATCTTTAAGAAGCTCATCATCATCTGGCTTCTCCTTAAACGACCGAGATACTTTCCTGGCCATTGCTCTTAATGCATCTTTTGAAGCAGCTGACAACGTCATAACTCTGCTAGATGTACTTCTATTCGGAATTACAGTTGCAGTGTTATTGGTTACTTCTCTGACGATTACATGTGCATTAGCACCACCAAAGCCATATGAAGAGACCGCAGCCGTTCTTGGTTTTCCACCTTCGGTATTCCAAGGCTCATTACAAACTTGTACCATCATTCCTCTTGCAGTCATCTTAAGCTGTGGTTTAACTTCGCCAACGTTAATGGTCGGAACAAACTGACCATATTTTATCATCAGACATGTCTTGATTAACCCAGCTAATCCTGCAGTTGATTCAGTATGGTTTATGTTTGATTTCACTGATCCTAGACGAAGTATTCTCTTACTGCTATTGCCATAAACGGTTGCCAATGATCCCATTTCAACGACATCACCTACGGCTGTTCCAGTGCCATGTGCTTCAACATATTGTATGTCGTCCTTACAAAAACCAGATTCTTGAAGGACTCTTTGAAACAAAACGGATTGAGTTACTTCACTAGGTGCTGTCATTGGAATGGCTGTTTGTCCATCGTTATTCACACCACATGCCACAGCTTCTGCATAAATATCATCTCTATCATCTAGAGCTATTTTGGTTGGTTTGATCACAACCGCAGCTACACCTTCACCTCGACCATATCCATCTCCTTTTATATCGAAGCTCTTGCAACGACCATCTTGGGCTAACAATCCAGTCCTGCAGCATGCTGTGTGGAACTTGTTACCCATCAGAAGAATATTTGCTGCACACACAATGGCCACGTCACATTCACCGGTTTGTAGATGTCCAAAGGCAACGTCAAAGGCCACTAAGGATGATGAACACGCTGTGTCTAGAGTCAGACTGGGACCGGTTAAATTTAATGAAAAAGAAATGCGGTTGGCGAGAACGGACATTGCACATCCAGTGGAGGAAAACTGATCAATTTTTCGAATATTGGACGAATCTAAAACAAGTGAACTATATTCCAAGTTCATTAATCCAACATAAACCCCAGTACGACATTGCTGTAGATCGTCAAGCCGTATTCCAGCATCTTCAATTGCTTCGTAAACAACTTGAAGTAAAATGCGTTGTTGTGGATCCATTGAGCGACATTCTGTTGGGGAAATGCCGAAAAAAGGAGCATCAAATCCAGTAATGTTTTCAAGAAAACCTCCTTTAAGCACGTAATGTTTTCCTGGTGTCTCCTTTCCTAAATTGAAGCAATCAATAAACTCTCTTGAGTTTGGTCTGTTTGTGGGATAAGAGCCAATACCACATCGACCGTCCACTAACATATCCCAAAATTCATCTTTCGAATTCGCTCCAGCAGGAAAACGACAGCCGATTCCAATTATAGCTACAGGAATGGAATTTTTAGCTTTTGCGACATGTTCAGATGAGTTTGGGTTTTTAGTTTTGTGGGATTTCTGTTTTCTTGCATGCTTGAACCATTTTATTATAATTGAGTCAATGTTCATTTCACGGAAGTCAAATATCTTTCCTAAAAGTGTTAGGTACACAGGTAATATAGCCAATCCATGAAGCAGACCAAGAACTACTATACCAACAAACACCTTAAAAAATGATTGGAATATTGTAGAAGTAGGAAATCCTGTTGGCATTATTCCAAGGAAAGTACTTAACCCCGCGAGAAAAACTCTACCGCCAAATTTGCCTAGGGCATCAATGACTCGAAGCTCAGTAGACGTCGCCTTGGATGAAACAAAATGATAAGCAACATGCCCGTTGTAATCCGCAAAAAATACCAGAGCCATAACAAGATATATCATAGAAAGTGAGTTCACTGAGACATTCCATAAGTACATCAGTCCGAGTAATTCAAGTACAAGAGCGAGAAATCCACACAGTAGACAAATTATTATTACAAAATTATTTAGGAAAATGGATGATATCAGAAGAATTAAAATTCCAGCAACAATTAAGTTTCTGATAGTTTCGTTAAGAACATGAGTATACTGTTCAAAGTAGATAAAAGGTAGGGCAACAGCAAATGCATCGACATCCGTGGAAGACGTAGAACGAGACAGATCTCCTCTTATACTGACCATCATGTTGCTTTGAATGATCGAGTCGGGGCTACTCTTGGAATATACCAAAACCTTTGAAGCTTTCAAATTTGTTTTATTCTCAGAAAATATTAAATCTTGAGCAAATCTTCCATATTTTGGCAATGAAATAAAATCTAACAATGTTTTGTGGAAGATTCTGGTATCATTTATATCAATGTTCTCCTTCTTTGCCCACAACAGATATTCGGACAACCAAGATATGCTTCCTGATATAAAATGAGCATTGTTTTTAGCAAGATTCTCAACAATAATGTACATTTTCTGAATTTCCTGACTTGAGATATCCATATGTCCAGGGAAGATGATATTTACTTCGATATTAAGATGAAAGTTTTCTTCGGAAACTCTCATAAATTTTTGGTAGTCTGAATCTTCAGATGTTAACAATTGCTTGTTGAAACTTGTGTCTATATTGAGAGCGCCGTAAATACCACCGGACAAGAGAAGTAGGGAACACAGACAGACCATAACTTTCCCTGGAGAGGAAGTTATTACCTTCCCCCAAGCTCTCATTATGTTGTCAAATCTATTAGTCCGAATACCAGTACGGTCTTCGGTAGGAGGGTAAGTCATTAAACAAGGTAAGAAATCTCGAGCATGAACGGTGATTCGTTTGATATCAAACCACATGCAACCAACAAAAAATGTCACCAGCATAAAAAATGTAGACCAAATTGTCAGCGCTGCGTATGTGCAGAACAAACGAATTGCGGGAAAGATAGAACGACGGCTAACGGCAAATACTACGAGGTTAGTTAGTGTCGTCACGATAGTATTTGGTCCACTTCTAGCCATTGTGCCACTAAGCATATGCATAGCAGGGATATTCTGATCGACCATTTGGTTCAGCTCTTGTAAAATAATAAAAGCATCATTTATACCAATACTGACGACCAAAAATGGCAGAACACCTACCATACTGACAACGGGCACACCGAGGTACATTAAAAAACCGAATGCGGCTGTGATACCCAAATAAATGGATAACAGGGAACCAAGTCCTAAAAGTTGGTGTCCAAAGCGAACATCTGCGCATCTTCCGTTTACGATACCACTGAATACCACCATAATTGCAAATGTCAGTGCAAAGAACTTAATATCAGATCCAGTAGTTTCTGACACTGAATTGTCCAGGCTCCGTTCTGCCACGTATACAATGTTTGCACATGTAGTACTTTCTGTGAAAGATGATACTTCATTCAAAAATATATTTTCCCATTCTAAAATGCCTTCTCTACCCTCTTTTCCCCTCGGATATTCTTTCATAAAATAAACAATTCTTAGAGCGCTTGCGTGACCAAGTGAACCATTGGAGACAGATTTCGCAAAGATTTGGTCGAAATTATCTTGAAGTCGTCTTCCATTTGACATAAGAAAAGAATCAGTCTGGAGTATTGTTTCAATGCGCCGTGAAATATTGACCAAGTGTTTCTTTTGGTAACCGAAAATTTCTAACAAATTTATTGAGGCACATCCGCTATTTTGGTTTGGTTTAAAGCAGTATTCGTCGTAAAGCTTTATCTGAGTGATAATCTTATGCAAATCAATCATTTCCGCCACACACTCTTGTGACAGAACAGACTTGTTATATTTTGACAAAAAGATAACCTCTTCTTGTCGAAATTCAAGTTCAAAACCAAAATTTCTTGCTTTTTGTATATCCTGTGATGCCTCGCTGTCTTCAGGTAGAAACAAGTATTTCACATTTTTCTCGACCTCCAACTTCACAAATCCACAGGTTAAGACAATGGCGAGAAAAAGGGAGACGAATATCACATGAAATGGCCGTCGTGAAATGGATAGCGCATATTTTTCCAAGCTCTTTTCGAGGAGCACAAGGAAGAATTTTTGTAACCATGCCAAATGATGTAAAAGTCTAGCTCCGAAGCGAGATCGTGGTCGTTCGTCGGAAAGGTCTACGTATTCGACAGCAGTATCGATATTTCCTTTGTCGCTGGGATTAAGAAAGAAAAAGTTAACTATTTTTGCATGTGAGTTTAGAAGGAATAGGGGTGTATACCCCAAATTCCCCTCCCCTCCCACTTATGTTCTCTGGTATTGCAACGGTATTGCCGGATATTTGATGGATCAAAATAACTCGCCGTTTGCCTTATAGAATAACTTAAAATAGCGACACCAATATTTATACTTCTGCTAGGGGAAGCACACATGTATCCACGAAGTGATGGGGTATCCGGTCCCCCCACCTTTCGTCCGGACCAATTTTGTAATTCTTCCAAAACTGATGAGAGACTGGGGGGTAACCTTTTAATGCTTTCATCAATGTTATAAGAATATACCAAATCTGTGGCTTTCAGATTTTCATAAAACGTGTTTAAAATGCATGAAATAGCGTTTCGCAGACACTAAAAATAGAAACATTTTCCGGGAAACCATGCTTCGGATCTCCTAGTATGTATTCAATGATTGAACCCCCACCCACACTTGTTTAGGGATGCCTACGCCCCTGATTTTCAAAAAGATGGGGAATGTTTTTATAGGAAAATAAATGAAACGTCAGAGTCATCAGAGCAACTTCTTGATACTGAAAATAACAGGAAGTAACTGCTGCCTCACGACTTTGTCTCAAATTTCTTGAGTTGTGGTCGTAGAGGACGTTTTAAATCTTTCTGTGTTTTTACATAACGCGATTATCATTTCTATAACCACCCGATAAATTACAACTTATCCTGCGAATTTCTCGAAGTTCTTTATAATTCGGCTGTGTTAGAGAGACGATCACAACTACCTTAATTTGATTCGTTCTTTGTAGGCGTCCTTGACAAAATTATGAACTCCAACTCTAAATGGTTCATAATTCATTAATGTTTTATTTCTCTACACCCTAATACCAAACCGGCCTTTTTTTCTCGTGTGAATGGCGCTATGGCACCCAACATTCAATTTTATATACTAGATAATTAAACTTTCGATGCTATATTCACTCACCTGGCAAATCCATCCATGTCGCCAATTTTGGCGGCCGTTCTTCTCGCGAACTATATTAAAATGTAATTTAGACAAAAACTATAATTTAGATTTACGACTTTTTGGCACTGACATTGACGTTTTAACAATTAACGTTTTATGTACTATTTAAAAAACGAGCAGGTGTGTTTTATTAGGTTATTATCTGCGAGTTTTTTAAATGGCTTCAAAAACTTTTGCATAATAAGTCAAATCTTTATATAAAAATCTTTATATAAAAATCTTTATACAAAAATCTTTATATAGTTTGCATAACAATGGTCTTTTGTTAACGTGTTCTTTAGCTGGTATAAAGACGTATGCACGTGACTAATTTCTTACTCAAGATTGGATAATTGCTTCATGAATAATTAATGAGTTTTTGAAGTTAAGGTGGCTCGCTACAGTTTATAGAAATGTTGAAAATGCGTAAACTCGATCACCTTTATGAAGAGATGATGCTCTTTACAAATCGAAATTTGTATATTATATATACAGCGACAATCAAACAGTCGAAAATTGGTCAGAAAAGTGACGTCACCACTGTTGCTATGGCCACAATGACGATTCAAGATGGCCGATATTTTGGCTTTGAACGCATTTTAAAAAAAGGTCGGTTACCCCCATTTTTTATTTCAGAAAACATTTTCTTATAGTTCAATGCACTGTCTGACCAATTTAAAAAAAATTCTGTAATGCAAAAAAAATTTATTTCGAAAAACCATGTTTATAAATTTTTTAAAAATTTGGCACTACAGAATTTTTTTAAAATTGGTCAGATAGTGTATTGCACTATAAGAAAATGTTTTCTGAAATAAAAAATGGGGGTAACCGACCTTTTTTAAAGTAAAATGCGTTCAAAGCCAAAATATCGGCCACCTTGAATCGTCATTGTTGCCATAGCAACAGTGGTGACGTCACTTTTCTGACCAATTTTCGACTGTTTGATTGTCGCTGTATATATAATATACAAATTTCGATTTGTAAATAGCATCATCTCTTCAAAAAGGTGATCTAGTTTAAGCATTTTCAACATTTCTATAAACTGTAGCGAGCCATCTTAAGTTACTTAATTAAAACTGTTTGAATGAAAGCCAGACATGAGTTGAGCCAGACATGAACTTCGAGCCATATTATCGGTTATTATCGCTAATTAAGTATATATATATATATATATATATATATATATATATATATATATATATATATATATATATATATATATATATATACCGGGTGGCCCAAAAAAAAGTACTCCTGTTTGATTCGTAATAACATCTAAACAAGTATAGCTTTTAAAGAGAAATAACTTGCATCAAATAGAGGAAGGACTAACTTAGACTTTGATATATTACAGTTGTATTTCACTTAAAAATTCACGGAGATATTAATCTTTAAATTCGGGAGGATATTTCTGGATGTGTCTGAAATATGCAAAATCGGCGTATCAAATATTAATCAAGATTTGCCCGACTGAAACATGCACTATTACCAGTAAATAAATGACACTTGACAAATTGTTTATTATGAAACAAAGTATTATTATATCTACAAAATACAAGCAAGATTCATTCGTCCGAAATTCGCGTGTGTTCCTAGCACGAATACGTTTCCTTATTTCATGAGACCACTGCATCGCGAAGGATCGTCATTGGATCGTTCGTAGTTCTGAATTAGGGCATGCTGTCACAACGGAATTGTGAAGCTCTTCTAACTTCTGCAACGTTCTGAAATCTTGTTAAGAACACCCAAACTCTTTTGCCGTTTCTTAATCTTGGCAAGTTCATGGAGTAAACTGAGAATCATGTGAAACACAATCAAACCATACAACTCAATAAGACATAACAATTAAGCAACTCCCCAGAGACATGCAACATTTTTGGAACAAAACGTAACAAAATAGTAGCGTTGATACGGTGATGTGTACGGTATTTGCAAAAAGCAATATTATTTCCTTCAATAAAGAATATTCATCCTGCTCTAACCGAGAAATAATCTACTCAGTCTGTTTGAACCCATTAAAAACATAAAAAAATTAGGCTATTTAAGAATACGAAAAATTTAAGCGCCTGCCTTCCATGGTCAGTCTTTCATGTACATTTAAGTTTGCAAAGACCTAATATTAAATACTTGCATAATTTCGAACGTTCATATTTCAGGAAACAATGAGCTAAGACTTACATGTAAGATGTCTAAATCTACGCCATATCCCTTACAAACCTTAACGATAATTCGCTGAAATACAAGTTAGCCTAATATGTCATTAAGCAAACAAACGCTGGAGTTAATATTTGATATGCCGATTTTCGCTAATTTTAGACACATTCCAAAATATGCTCCCCATTTTTAACATTAATATATCCGTGAATTTTTAAGTTAAATACAACTGTAATATATCAAAATCTAAGTTAGTCCTTCCTCTATTTAATGCAAGTTATTTCTCTTTAAAAACTTTACTTGTTTAGAAGTTATTACGAATCAAACAGGAGTACTTTTTTTTGGGCCACCCGGTATATATATATATATATATATATAGTGAAATGTTGCTGATGCTGATAACAAGATACAAGTGTTGTATATAGAAAAGGTTTCAATGTGCACCCAAAAGAGACATTTATAACGTAAAATAAAATAAAAGCCACTCAAATTTTGCACAAACGTTTTCGCTTCAATGTTAGCTCTTCAGGTGCATATTTACAATGAGTGGAATTTAGTTAGTTTATCTATTATCTCCGTTCTTTGATATCATATTATAATAACTATGTTAGGAATGCATATATTTACATAGTGTCACCCGTTAAAAACATTCTATTGATCTGAATGTAAGCATAAACTTAATGGTTTTTTAATTAGCGTTCAGATCCGGATTCAGTATACTGATAAGTTCTTTTTATTTCATCTCCCTAAAAAGTCTGTCCGTGTTAATGCATTGATATATAGGCATTATTTTGAAAATTTCGTTGTTACACATATTTGAGTGTTCGCTTACTTTTAGGTGTCTATACTCTTCGTGTCGAATTTGTTCCTTGTGCAATGTCACTCTTTTTCGTAAGTTTTCTGTCTGGCCGACGTAGAAGCTGTCGCATTTTGAGCAAATGATCACGTAAATGACATATCTCGCTTTGCAGTTCATCGTCGAATTGACTTTCCAGCTTTTTCCGCTCTTTAATGTAATAGACTTTCCTGTGATTAAAACATCGCATGTTCCACATCGCTTTTCCTCGCATTTTGTTACAGAGTGTTCTCTGTCCTCTGAATTGAATTGTGCTTTTGTCAAGTATCGCTTCAAGTTCTTCGGTTGACGTTTGCTTACAATGAGTTTTGTTTTGTCTAATACTCGTTTCATTTTCTCGGAATTGTTTAGAAATTTAAAGTTCTCCCTTATTTTTCCAATTACTTGAGGATTGTTGGGATTATGAGTTATTACTAAAGGCAAGACATTGTCATCAGTTTTATGTTTTGGTGCCCTCAATTCCTCAATGTTCTTTGAAGAAGCCTTCCGTATTCCGTTTTTTATAAGCAATTTCGGATAGTTCTGCTTTTGTAGGAAATATCCTAGTTCATCAAGACGCTTCTTCTTTAAATCTTGATTTGTTACAATTGCACAGATCCGTCTTGCCAGTGTGTAGGGAATGTTTGATTTTGTATGTCCAGGATGACATGAATGATAATCCAGATATTGGTGTGTGT